TGGAAGGAGCCTGGGGGAGGAGAACTCCAGGTGGGACGCCTTTTAGAGGAAATAGCTCCCAGACCAGAGGCATCCTTGAATCATCTCCCACAGGAGGAGCTTTCTTTTCACTGGAATAGACTTCCTTTATTCTTAAGCAGTCATTGACTCCGAGTAAACTAAGGACTGAGGCTTTCATGAAGGAGAATGCAAAAGCAGCTGGCGATCTGAGCAGTATGTTTTCACAGTTTCAACTTTCATAGCCTTTGGTTTGCCCTGATCTGGTGATAAGGCAGCATGGTGGTTCTCAGTATGTACACATGTCCCATTCTCCCATGTCCTCCAAGTGTCCACTTTATTTTTTCAGCCTGAGAGTATTGGAAAGCCATTTCACATCTTATTGGATTAACTTCTTTTTATTCTCTGCTGTCAGAATGTTACTGATTTAAAATGAACAATTCTAACAATTCTCTTTTCTGTAGAAACCTTTTTCTTTTGAACTATCAACCATCTCCAAGAAACTTATTAGTTTTGATTGCTCGGCCTAGCTTAGGCTCATTTCTGGCTAGCTCCTTTAATTCAACCTGCTTCTCTTTATTTACCTTTTTCCTAGGGGTTATTTACTTTTCTTTCCTTCTGTATATCTTATTTTCACACTATGTCTGACTGGCAGCTGGCTGGCATCCTTGCTTTATTTTCTCATCTTCTCCTTGTTCTTCTGAGCCTAGATTTCCCCCTTCTGTTTATTCTCTCTGCCTGACATCACTGCCTAGCTTTTGGCAGTCAGCTTTTCATTAGCCCAATCAGGTGTCTCGGGCAGGCAAGGTGAAACAGGTGTAAATACATCTTTACGTAATTAAGCACACATCCTTACATTGTTAAGTAAACGCAGCACAAACAATATAACATACCTTTACACAGCGAAAGTTCCATTCTGCAGCCTAAACAGATGTAACACATTTTTGCCTAGTTAAAACAATATTCCACAACATTTTCCTCTCTAGGTTCTCATTTTGTACAGTGAGTTTCAAAAGTGTCTAGGTTCTATCTTGATTGCAACCTACATCATTTAAAGCGAATGATTTTGAGTTGGGTAGAAGTGGGTTTCTAATCATAGGTCTTTCACTTAATTTGGGTCAGTTTCAGCAAGCTATACAACATTTTAAGCCTCACACCTGATTAGACAGAATAATGATATCTTCTTTGTTATATTGTAACTATATCACACCATGGTTCTTCAGTGAATGATACATTCTGAGTGATTTCTGCTCACACGGCTTTTCTACAGCCCCACAGGTTCCACTCTTTCCCACTTACTGCAGTTATTATGAAGCTAGGTCTACTCTCAGGATGACATAATCTGAAGACTGTCTTTGCATTGTTTAAATGCGACAGATCTTAGCACATCTGAGAATTACACATGTACCAGGAAGTGTCTTGGGTGTGGGACCACAGTGGTGAGACAGACTGACAGGCCATGCCTTCTTGCACAACTATAGACTGCTGTCATGAAACTGTTTCCATCTGTGGTTTGGTTTCTAAAATCACCCTCAATTTTTCCTCTTCAGTTTTGTGTCAGGTAAACCTATGTTCATTCTCTCAGAGACTAATTTATCTTCTTTTTCCTGCAAGTTTGTTCTAACATCCATCTCTTAATCTGCATGTCTCCAGTCACCATCCCTACTCAATCATTATTTGTTGGAACAATATTTTCTCCCATATTAAAATAAAAACAGGCTAGATGGTGGGTGGTGCTTCATACCTTTAATCCCAGCACCCAGGATGCAGAGTCAGGTGGATCTCTGTGAGTTCTAGGCCAGCTTGGGCTGCTGAGCGAGTTCTAGGACAGGACAGCCAAAGGCTACACAGAGAAACACTGACCTGAAAAACCAAAAATAAGCAAAGCACAAATTCCTCCTGCTCAAATGCTTTTAGCTTTATTCACACCCACGGGATATTATAATAGTCCTTTCTTAATTGTTACTGACTGTGTTCCTCCGTTAAGTAGTATTTTCCCTGAAATTGGAAGCACAAGTCTCAACAACATCTTCCATGATTCTGCTTCTACCCAGGTAGCTTTCAGCTGTTTATCACACTCTGACATTCCCGTTTGCTTTTAGTTTAATTTCCTCAGAGCTTATCCTGAGCGCTGCAGAGAACACTATGTGGTTTGTAGAAAGCCCTATGGATTCTGTTTTCCATTGTCTTCACTGTAACAAGACCACATTCCTCTGGCATTCTTACCTACTCATAACCCTGTTTATGTCTCCAGCTATGCCCTCTTCCACAGTGCATTTCTTTGTTGCATTACCTTTCCAGTCCTCTGTGTATTTGCCTATCTTTAAAACTATACATTTTGCAAGTGATTTTACTAGTTTAGCTACTTTCTTCTAAACTTTCTTCTAAACTAATGTCAACTTCTCCTGTCTGTCACATTTGTTAAATTGTTTTGCTACTACTCATTCCTCTTGTTTGTGTCTGGTTATCTTACTCATTCTGGGGTACCATGCTTAAACAAGTGTTTAGCTCTTACCAGTTCTGGGGTATCATGTTTAAGCCCCACCCCTTCCAAATATTTAGCACTGCGATTCAGACTTCTAAAATATGGTTCAACCTTATTGCTCACACAATCCCACACTACATGACTCCGTAGCTTCCTATCTGTATGGCTGTCTATATGTCAGGCTTTTCATCTCCTCACTGGCCTGGCTATGTAGATTCTATTCCTGTTACATCATGAAGATGGGGCCCAAATGTGTTCACCTTTCTGGCAGAGCACAAATGTCAGTTTTTACACACTTCTGCCCCCCAGGGATAAAGTGGGCTTATATTATCCCTATTGTTATTCTGTGGGATGCTGAACAAACTACAAACTCACTAAACATATGCTAAGGAAGTAATTGAGTTTGGAAGATTACCTTCTCTTAAAAAGTGATTACATATTGTGAAAACATACCAGTGAAACAATAAAGGCTGTATCCTTGATGAATAGCTAGTGTTCAAGAATACAAAGTAATTGCCCTAAGTGCAGTTTCTCTCTTTGTCAACCATTATTCAATTAAGGGAGCTCATCTTAGTCAACTGCAGGAAAGGGATGTGCTATCTCTGAGGAGAGGAGGCCCTTTCTCTGGACATGCTTAGTACTTCTGAAAACATTAGGTACTCAGATTATTACAAAGTAAAGCAAAAAATATATAGAGAGGACAGAAAGAGACAAACTACTAAACTATGATTGAGTTTTCAAGCCTCTTACTGTGACATATTGTTTATGATAGTCTATACAAACCAGTAAGAAATCAGTCAGTTACCACAGTACCTCTCCGGGACCTTGTTTTATAGCCATGATGACTGTTCCTAAGAAACAGTCCGAATCCTTTCCATAAAGCTCCTCAAGGTGCGTAACTGTCCAGTTCCTTTTCTCAAGGCTGGAATTTTCATTCACAAGTGATTATAGGTTGACACACTATAAACGAGTTACCTTGGTGAATAGATATATTTTCAAGATACAGAGAAATGTGATTCAGCCTTCTTTAAAACAGAAGTATGTTTGGACATTAGCTGTGCTGTAAGCTTTGGCCTTTGTTATAGCCATGCATATTAAGTGTCCTGTACATTGACTAAGGAACATCTGGTCAGCCCACGAGTCACCTCTTTGCAGACTTCTTTAAAATAGGCGTTTAAAAAATTAGCATTCACCAGAAAAGGCCAGTTAAATACTGAAGAGTGTAGACTGCTCCAGGCAACATCAAAAATACCAGACAGTATATTTTGTGAAATATAATTGAGTTATAGGATATAACAATAATGAGGAGTTCAGCATTATTATAACTTTTGAATATTGGCTATATTTCTATGTCTTATTTCTGAGCACTCTCCTCCAGCCTCACTAAGACAAAGAAAACAAATCTGTTCTTTATGATTACAAAGTACTCTTTTGTCATTATTCCATGCCAAACTGATAGTTTTTATAGCCTGACCAGGGACCAAGTCATCATTACCTGGAGGCGACGACCATTTCAACCATCTGAAGATGCTCTTCTGCTCTGAAGGGAAGCTCAAGCTGACTGCCTCAGAGTCTCTCTCTCCACAGGTGGCAAGGGTTAGTGCTGTTGAAGAACTGACAGGTTTTCCCCTCAGGATGGGTAGACTAGATTGGAAAATACATAGGAGGAGAGCTTGTCAAGGAAATTCAGGGAGCAGAGCTGATGTGTTCGAAAGGGGATTCTCACCTGCTCCTCAGATTAAGTCATAACTGCTTATGTTTTATGAACTCATACAAGTGTGCAGAAGAAAAAGAGCAAGAAGCAATAGAATATACATAGAGAGGGAAAGGAGGAGAAGATGTGGTAGGGAGAATGTCTGGAGGGGCATAAAATGCTATGGTGTGTCAGGTCATTTGCTGAGATGATGAGAACATTCTAATTTGAGGAATAAGTCCTTCAGGGAATTGAGGTTTATTTTTTTGAGAGAGTGCTATAAGAGTTATTGACTAACAGAGTGAGAATATTATATTGCATCAAAGTTCCAAAATTAAAGGGGACAGTTTTAGTGTCAAACAGAGGAAAATCACAGTTGTGTTGCTTAACTGTGTGTGGCAGGAAGGTGCAGGTTGCATAAGTGTTATAGGGTCCTCTCTTTGAAGAGGATACCCTGGGTGTGTGCTTTGAGCTGTCATAATGAATCTTACCAGATCATAGGCTTCTGAGTATAAATGCCGTGTTTTATTAAGTTTGCCATGTACAATATTCACAGAAGTATTAATTACTCCTAACTACAGACCATTATTTGAGATACTGCCTAAGGGATTTTTCATCTTAAAGTAGTAGGTTTTGATCCAGAAAACAAGTAGATTCACAAAACATGGAATTTTCAGCCTGTGAATGAGATATTGTTTCATGTTTTTATCCTTGAATATTTTCCAAATAAAAAAGAGTGAATGAAGGGAACTATTCTTGATTGACATGTGAACTGTTAGAATCACACTTGTTGATATTCTTTTCTTTTCAATATGTTTCCCACAGGGTGCTGCTTTAATTAGAATGCTGGCTAATTTTATGGGCCATTCAGTTTTTCAGAGGGGTTTACAAGTAAGTAAAATGCTTTCTATTTTCTCCTACCCTTTTTCTTGTTGTTATTTTAAGGTTATTTCACAGTTTGGGAAATTTCCAATACCAAATTGCTACTCTGATGGAGAAATTGAAGATAAGCAAGACAGACTAAGTCCTTCAGTATGACAAAAGAAAAAAAAGGCATTACAGAACACTCAGTGTATCATCTGCTCACGTTCAAGCTGGTATACAATTTAGAGGTGTTTAATCAGCATTTACAAACTGAATTAATTTTAGTACATGTCAGATTCTGAGCAACTTACATAAGAGATTCAGAAAACCTACTAGTATTTACTGACACTAAGATGTTTAAGTAATATGAAAACAAATTGTTAGTTTTACTAAAATTACAATATTGAGAAAATTTTGTGCCTGCTTTTCTGTTATTACTCTGTTTTGTTTTACTACTGATTATAGAGTTGCTATTTGTCCCAGTGAAAATAAAATATGTTTACTTGAAAGACAAGTGGATCATTTTAAAAGTAAGGAGCTAAACATGTGGCTTTTGTTTTGTTGTTATCTCTTCGAAGCCTGTTCTTTTCTAATGTGAGGCAGAAATGTAGGGGATAAGGATAACATGGGAGGTGGGGAGGAACTGGGAGGAGCAGAGGGAGGGGAAACTGTAATCAAAATATATTGTATGAGAAAGGAATCTAGTTTCAATAAAAGGAAAAAAGAAAGAAAAGGCAGTTGCATTTAGGTAATAAGCATGAAAATGTAAGGATGGATTTGGTTAACAAAATTATTAGAAAATGTAGAACAGATACAACTATAAAAAATTAGAACTTTTAATCCCTTGAATCTGCTGGAGTAAAACAGTCTCCTAGTTTCTGTGATTGATGAATTATTTATGATGCATTCTGCTACTTAGAAGTGTCCTTTAAAGTAAATTGATGTTCACCTGAAATACAATTATGCTAAGACAGAGAGAGCAATCAATCTTATCTGTTCTTAGTAAGCTTTTCATTTTGAAATTTAAATAAACTGAAACTGGGGACCGAGTCATATTTTTGTAGTAGAATTCTATCTTTACCAAAAATAAGCCAAAACTTAAAATGCAAAGGCAAGAGTTCAATTTGATGTGACACACTGTAAATTTAATGCAACAAGTAAAGGGAGCATATAAGTTCATTGAAGAATAATTTTCCTTACAAACTACTATTGCAGATTAGTTTCAGCAGGCATCAGAATTTACTTTAACCAGCCTTTTCAGTACAAACGCTTTCAGAATAGCCGAATCCATCAAGCATATTTGCTGAAGGATGTAGGTTCTCTTTGCTAACGGATGAAGACTCCATTCTGATCACATAGTTGAAGCACCTTTTTTTTTTTGCTTCGCCTCAAAGAGTGCCCTCCATGAATATAAACTATCTGGAGGAATGTCCTTCCTTATCCCCACTACTTTGTTTTCCCCATTGAATTTGTAACGTGGCAGTTTCAGAAAATATTTAAGTTTTCATAAGGGCAATATAAATTGAATCTGGATCCCTGGTGGCAAGCTGGTATGAAATCATTTTCTGCATACAATTTTTATTATTTCTCTTTAACTGTGTTCATGTATTTGCTCATCAGATTGAGTGACTGTAGTTGAGCTATTGGGCAGAATCTTTTTGCAGCCTTTTTCCTTATCCTGTCATATTTTCTGCGGGATGTAAAATGTATTATTTTTGAATGCATCCTATATTACATCCTATATTCTGTTCCACTGACCCAGCCTGTTCAGTTTTATCTTAAACTGCTATAAAATCCATTAAAATAAATTTTCATGTGAAGCTAGTATTAACGCATAATTTTATGCTCCAATACTTGATTTGGTTAATTTTCAACCAAGGGAGTCTATGTTTGTCAACACTGCATTTCATTTGCCTCGTGACATCTCATTCATCAGGTGGATCTGTATCCTTCAGTTCCTTGCTTCCAGCTTCATTTATATGGATCACTCAAACTGATTTAGTGTATCATCAGCAGTTTGGATTAGTTTACAGTAGATCCTTCTGTCTGGGTGACACATTATCATCTCCTGTGCATGAAGATGTATGGGGTGCGTTTTGGAGATGACCTCCTGAACAGACACTTCATGTCATGGCGCTGACTGCTGAGAGAGTTCACATTAATAAGCTTGCCATTCACAGGGCTCTGGGGAGTCTTACATTAAGTTTTTGAAAGGGCTACTCTGCAATGTCAGCACTCACCTCTGAAGAAAGGCTATTAATTGTTTTTACATTAACCGTGGCTATTTGTATGTTGACAAATATAAGTTTATTATTTTTCAGACACACTATGTTTATATTTACTGGGTTGGGCAACCTCGAACTGCAAACGTGGTGTGTTGTCATAAGTTATTCTTCCTTCTGTCCGCCCTCTTTATTTTTGCTTAAAATTTTTAGCTGTGTATACAAACTATTCCCTCATGCTATGATATGACATCACACGGTGATAGCAGCTTCTTCATTATCTAACTAAATTTGTGTTCTGACAATAATTTTCCATATCTGCATGAACTATCCTAAACTCTTTTTTTGCAACAAAGCAAAAGTATTTACAAATATGTCATGTATAACTATCTAGTAGGCCTCTGGATCAGTTTATTATATATTCAGTTTTTCTTAGAAGATGTTTGAATAGACATTCAAAATTATTTTATATATTGCGCAGACATTTGTATTTTATATTTCCAATTGAATGTAAACCTCAGAAGGCAGAGACTCTAAAACTTTTTGAGGAAAACTGTTGCTGGATGTTTGGTTGCTTTGTGAAACTGAGACTGAATTAATAAAAATTAAGGGGTGGAACCAGTGACTTGGTGACAGAGGAAGGAGGATCCAGGGGTACAGAAGGAGAGCAGCACAGGAAGGAACAGGGAGGGACATCGAGATTCACAGGCTTTTTTGGATTGGGATGGAAGGAGAGATGCTTTCTTGCTGGGTCTATAGCCAGAAAGGAAGGACAACTGGGCACTCCTTGGATTCTCTGATACAGCAGGTTTTCAACCCATGTCTGACTCCTGAGTCTTTATTTGTAAAGTACTGACATTGGCACAGCCGGGAAGAGATGGTGGTTAAAATATCACTAGATACAGGTATGGCTGCTAAGCCGATAGAAAAAACAACAGAACACTTTTGCTCTTATTCATTCTATAACCTATACCTAAGCTAATCAGAAACCAAGGAAAATATTAAATGTGTAAAAATGTCAAATTGCAAAGAATTTCTTTGACTTTTTGTAGATCTTATTTTTGGTTAGCTTAAATGTTCAAATGGTTTAGTTTTTCATGTTTTTAAAAAAATGATCTTAAACCTCTTGTTTTATAAATAAATTATATTCATAAGTTAAGAAAATTCATAATTTTCTAATAAGGCAGCTTTAGTTTTTGTGGAACTTGCAAAATGAACCTAGTTCAAACTTTCTGTTGTTGATTATATGTGCCATTCATAAATGATATATCACAAGACACAGAGTGATCATATTTTTTGCAAGCTCTACATATCTACTGTTATATTTAATCCATTACACAAAATGACAGTAGGCATTTTGTGGGAAGCTTCAGGCAACAGAATAAGTAGGGAGAGATAATTCTCATTTCTCTTAATTAGTGCTGAGCCTCCTCCAAGTCAGGAAATGTTTCTTGGCCTCCAACCTTATAATTATAAATGCAAAACTAATGTTTTTCAACATATTTTCAATCCTTCATGGGTTCTAAATATAGGATTTATTTAGGGCAGTTGATCAGTTAGGAAATTTTATTTGATATTTGTAATTTGATGGAGGTGTGCCATAAACTGTATATGTAAGTGACTTCCTTTTCTTGAGCTTCCTGGTGGCCTGCTGAATGTTATACTGTGTGGCCATCAGTGTTCGCAGCAGTGCAGTAATGCAGCTGTATTGTTGCACTGTTACAGATTTTTCTAATAATGTGTTTAGGTTTTCTGGTATGAAATTCGACTTATGTTGTCCAAGGGTATAAGTTACGTATTTATTTTCCTGATTTGCTCCAGATATTTAATATATTTTGTGTGATTAATCTATGGTTGACTTACATGATATTTGCAAAGGGCTTTTTGAATTTTCTTGATGATTTCCATAACATGCATTTTGCTTTCTAAGGTCAGAATTTCTAGTTGTTCTCCTTCACTGTGGAGTTGACTCTGTTTATAGGTCTGGTGGCAGGACAGTGGTGGATTTGAGGAGAATTAGGACTCTTTTTTGAATGCTATTAAAAGGAATTCTGACAAGGGAGGAACTTATCCTCTCAACAAGAGGAACTGTTTTTGATACTAGGCAGAACTCAGGAGAATTTAGAACTTTGAAGCCAATGTTCAAAACCTTCTTGCCATTTGTTTTCCCATATATATTCCATTCTTCACACAAATACAATTGCTACGGTACTATTATCTTTTATTAATCCTGACTTCTTTAAAAACTAATAAAGACAGGAAACACTTGTAGGTAGTTGTATTTAAAGGTGTAGAACCAATTCTCCTGCTCCCCCTCCTCCTCCTCCTTGGTTTTTCAAAACAGGATTTATCTGTATTGTTTTGGAGACTGTCCTGGAACTCGCTCTGTAGACCAGGCTGGGACTAAAGGTGTGTGCCACCAATGCCTGGCTAGAACTACTTCTTAATAACATTAAATAAACCAACTTCACCTTTTGATGTTTGTATTAAAATGGATCATGGAAAAAAATCAAATATAAACTTTTGTGTTGTTAGATTATGTCTCCCATTTACAAATAATATTTACGCAGAATGTAGAAATGTATATGTTTTCACATTCTATATACTGCTGTATAATATATTCCATAAATCTCAGAGAAATCTTAAAACTATTCCCTTTAATTCAAGAGGAAATGGATTTAACATTCTATATGAGCATTTTCTGAAGTCAACAGAGGTGTAGGAGAAAAATTAAAGAAACTAGTTTCCAGGAAGTCAGGAGATTTGGTATCACTAATATGCATTCATCATAATATCTGCATTGCC